TAGCTGTCAAATGCTCTTCTAAAGACAGCCGTGAATCCAGGAGGACACCCAAGTTGCAAGCCCTATCCGTGGGGGCCAACGACTCGCCCCAATAGTCAGTGATGGCACCGACTATATCAGGACGTCAGAAACCACAGCCACTCGGTCTTGGATGGGTTGAGTCTGAGTCTGTTTCTCCCCATCCAGATCCGCACGGCCTCCAGGCACTGGGACATCACTTCAACGGCATCATTGGGGTGATCCGGGGTGGAGATGTACAGCTGAGTGTCATCAGCGTACTGGTGGTACTTCACCCTGAAACCACGGATGATCTTGCCCAGCGGCTTCACATAAATGTTGAACAGAAGGGGCGAGAGGACCGATCCTTGTGGCACCCCACATACAAGGGGCCTCGGGGTCGACCTCTGCCCCCCTGTCAACACAGACTGCGACCGGTCGGAGAGAAAGGAGAACCACCACAACACAGTGCCTCCCACCCCCAACCCTTCCAACCGGTGCAGCATGATACCATGGTTGATGGTATCAAAAGCCGCTGAGAGGTTTAACAGGACCAGGACCGAGGAGCAACCCCTGTCCTGAGCCCTCCAGAGATCATCAACCAATGCGACCAATGCCGTTTCCGTGCTGTACCCAGGCCTGAAGCCCGACTGGAACGGATCTAGATCCGTTATAATATTCATGTGAGACAAGTTAAGAAAAAAAATGGGTGAATTTTCTGCTGGTTATAAATAAAAGATCAAGCAGAGATGTTCTTTCTAACCATGGGTTTGGAATGAGAATGGAAAAGATGAGGATTGATAAATTATGGTTTAGTCAATATCCTCCGCAAAGTGGATAGGAGAATTTTTCACCTTTTTCTGCTTTTCCAGGAAGACTCTCTCTCACCTTTCAGACCTGAATCATATGGCAATTGAGACATCTATGTTATTGGGAAGTCCTCACCTACTCTATAGATGATCCATCTTTTCCATCTTTCACATTCTCTCTTCCTATACCTTTCTCCTTTCCTTGCTCTTCTCTTTTGTAATAATTGTTTAAATGTATTGTGAGCCGCCCTGAGTCTTGGGAGAGGGGCAGCATATAAATTTAATTAATTAAATTAAATTAAAATTATTTTTTTTTCTCATTCTCATTCTTGCTTGTTGCTCTATTTTCTTTTATATAACAAAAGGACGGGTTGCTGAGAGATACCAGTGCACTGATTCTCGGTTTCTCCTGCCAATCCCAATTCTGGCATTATACAGGTAGTCCTTGACTTACAACCCCAATTGAGCCCAAAATTTCTGTTGTTCATTGAGACATTTAAGTGAGTTTTGTCCCGTTTTATGACCTTTCTTGTCACAATTGTTAAGTGAATCACCGCAGTTGATGTTGTTGTTAAGTGAATCTGGCTTCCCCATTGACTTTGCTTGTCAGAAGATTGCAAAAGGGGATCATGTGACCTTGGGACACAGCAATGGTCATAAGTATGAACCAGTTGCCAAGTCTCTGAATTTTGATCACATGACAATGGAGATGTTGCAAAGGTCGTAACTGTGAAAAACAGTTGTAAGTCACTTTTTTTCAGTGCTGTTGTAATTTTGAACTGTCACTAAATGAATTGTTGTAAGTAGAAGACTACCAGCACTTGTCCCTCTTGTAACTCTCACTGCCAGAGTAGAAATAAAACACACTTATTAATCCAGCACTGAGGTGACTAATGTAGGAGGAAAACAAGGTGGTGAAAATACTATTAAACAGTTTTTCTACTTTAGCTCTTTATTTTATGATCATATATTTACGTATTTTCTTCTGACTATAAGTATATTTATGCACATATACCACTTTACACAAGGGAATGCACATAGAGGAGTCCACTTTACTCCACGTTCATATGTATTACCTATAAATAGAATATTCTGATGACATTATTTAAAGAACGAGAAGGTATAATTCTATGCAAAACCCCCACTTTTCTCTGTGATGTTCTGAAATATGAGCCCATCATCAAAATAGGACATGCCACTGGTGTTTTAGCAAGGAACAAGTGATTAGCGATGAAATCCAAACAGCTGAATGTTTTAAGATAGCAACACTTGAGGACTAATTGGGGAAAGCACACCTTAGGATGCAGGTGTATGTCAATAGCTTGTTAACGCTGTGTGATTAACTAAATAAATAGGCAGAAGTAGATACACTTCAGAATGTGTGTGAGGGCCACAGGAGATTTCCCTGCAAAGCTTACAACTAGGTCCCAACAGAGTTCCATAGCAACAGTAAAACCACAGGCTCTAGGGGTCATTGGCAAGTGCCTACATGTGCTTGAAGTTGCTTTTTGGCAGGGACCCAAATCTTCAACAGTATGCACGTAAAATATTAAATTTTATTTCTGCCCACAATCTCATACTGTATTTTCCTTCCTGGCCTCTGGGCTTCCCTCACTTCATCCTAATGGTCGGCATAGTTCGATCAAGAGGATATAGAATGGCCTTTCGGAGGATACTAAATATACTGACTCTTTTGCTTATGCCTTCAAAGAGATTACAGTGTACATTTTATGCCCCATCCTCCCAGAAAGAAAAGCACATTTTAAGCAACAGAGGTTTCATATGGCAAGGATAGCAATTATGCACTGGTATATGAGTATGTATATACTCATAGATTGTTCACTTTTATTACATAGTTTTACTATGTGTGTGACATTAAATTAAAATGCAGAGAATAACATAATTTATCAATGCACATCTGGGTTTTAATAAAGCTTGATTATTAATGTTTTAGGAAAGGCATGAATTTTCTTTTGGATTTTAAAGTTAAATATGTTTTAATTTTCCATGCTTTCCTTATCTGGGCCATACACACTGTGAGATCCATGGCTTTTTTACACTGATACATCACCTCTTGCTGCCAGATAATATATTTGTAATTTTCAGTAAGGAAAAAAATCCTAATCATACTTTTGTATTAGGCTACTAACATAGGTTTCTGTCAGTTTCACAGATAAAAAGGTATCACATTATTATATAAGAATATACACCAACAGAAGGAAATACAGTAGAAGTAAATACAAAAAGAAGCAGTGAATGAAAAATATTATTTGACACAGTGTATATGCCATTGCATAAATCCAGTACTGTCAAGAGTGTTTTATTCTGCTTTTTTTTCACTATTTCAACATTTATTCTAAACATTTGGGAATTCACTGTTGTTCTCAATATTTCAGCATTCATTTTTACTATTTTCATGGAAAGATATTGAAATATTAAATTTATTTTTGTATCTCTGATATAAATTCTTTACCATAGAAATAATCTAGTCACATACACCTATTTAAACTCAACAGTCATTGAAGCAAAAGGCCGTTCCCACAGAACCACTATTTTCAAACTCTTAAAATCAATTTATGAAAGCATTAATGTCATAATCATCACTGCCTTCTTAGAAATGCACAGAATTCTGGGTGATCCAACCAGTGTTACCTCCAGCTGACAAGGTAATTAAAAAACTTGTGGGGGGGGAACCTATCACTGCACCTTCACTCATTCACTTTATGCTTTTTTCCCCCTCAACAATTATAATAAAAAAAGATTGACATGAAAGTAAGATGCCACTTGCGTTTCTTTAATCTTGTGCAAAAATAGTGTGTGATATTAGATGGTTTAGCCACAGAGAAAAGGAAAGACAGGAACTGCCATTGGAACTTTGAATGGTCACTAAGTGAACTCGGTAGGTTGAGGACTTATTTGTATTCCTTTTGTATCAAGCAAAGCTGGAAGTTAATCAGTTCTTCCATCTAACTGAGACTGTGGCATGTGATCACAAGGGTACCATTGATCTTGGAGTGATGCAAATGCGATGTCTGAAAGTGCCCATAATGTCTTAGGCTGCAATCCAAGCCCCCAAATGAAGCAATTCTACTGAACACAGCAGCCCTTACCTCTGACCTCTCTCTGTCTCTCTCCCCTATATCATCCGTTTGGTTGCCTGACTATCTGTCTATCATCTATTTTTTCATGGCCATGCTACCTTGCTAAAGAATAATGGGTTTAGGAGTTCTAATAAACAGAAACGTGGCAGATTAAATGTTTATCTGTAACAGCACTTTTGTACTATACTAGAAATAGCTGAATATTTTAAAAAATTACCTATAACTATTGTTAGATATAAATTCTGCCAGAAAACTGTTTGCATACTTAAATCTGAGTAAACTGCTTATTTTAAGAATTATTGATCTTTGTAATTTGTAATCCTTATAATTCATTACCCTCTCTTCTTATTTATATCTGCTATTCCTGAAAATTTTTATGCAATTATTTGAAGTCAGAACATTCTTTTCCTTTTGTAAAGATTGTAACTAATGAAGTACCTCATAAATTAAAAATACCTGATCAGATTCTGAAGGAATAATTGTTATATTATTTTCTTGGGTTTCCACCAAACGCTACTTGTTCGTAGGAATAAACTGTAGCAAAGCTAACAGTTGACATTAACAGTTTTGTTAAATACAATTCAAACTATTTGTATTGCAAGCATGTACAAGCTTATAAATTACTCCTTTGTTATTCTCTTTGTCACTGAATTAAACTATTTTACTTTGAAGTAGCAAAGTGCTTCCATCTTAGTTTGTCAGCCTATTAAACAATATTAAAGAAAAGTGTGCTCTTAGAATAATAACTAAATGTAAATATAACAGAACATTTCACATTAAAAATTCAAAGTTAACTTGAGGACCCATCAGAAAAATAATACCCAATATTGTTTGAACAGTTTTCCAATTATAATCCATTATTAATCACAATATACCATTGATATCAAAACATTAGGCAGATATTCTAAAAAGGACCTACCTATTCCTTTACTGCAAAACTACATTAAGCATGTATTCAAGAGAACCAATAAATGCTGTGCCTCTTACATGTAATGGAGAGAGCAAATGGAAGTATACAAGCATCAGTTCCTTGTAAAGTTATCTTTATACTCTTTATACTAAATGAACTTGTTCCCCCTGATCAAGCTAGAAAATGACCCTCATCCAGCAAACAGTAAAGTACTACAAGTGCACTGTGGAAGACAGGGCATTTCCATCTTTTTCAACAATTCCTGGAGGCAACATCTCCACAAACAGCAGTTTCATTGCAATGGGTGGGAGAAGACTTAGGGTAAAAATGGATTCCCCAGAAATCAAGAAAGGCTTCAGCTCTGAATGTATACATTCAGTTACAATCTGGCAGATGTCAATGAATCGGATGAGGGGGTCCTCTCTGAGCTCTTGCAGACGTTTTATTACCCCAAACTAGGTAACATCATCAGTGCTAGTAAGGAGTGCTTACAGCAAACAGCCCTCTTTACGAGCACTGATGCTGTTACCTAGTTGGGTAATGAAACGTCTGCAAGAAAACAAGCAAGCTCAGAGAACACTGGGGACCCCTCCCTCCTCACTTCAACCCTGAGCTACAAATATTCCCCTTTATTAATGAATCTGATTTCAGACCTGGACAATCGATCAAAACGACCGCTATGATTTCGACCCGCTTCCATCAATACAAAGCACGAGGGGAATCTCCTCAGTGGGTCGACCAAATGCTCTCCCCCCCACCACCCCCAATCTCCCGAAGCCCTGCAGACCTGCGCACTTTTGGCTGCTGCTGAGCCGCAACCGGAGCAGCCAAACTTTCCTCACTTCTGAGGCTGTGGCTTTCTTTATCTGCTTTCGCCTCACTTCACGCCACTTCGCTCCATCGAATCGACCCGCCTGTCGCGCCCTTCCTTCCTCCCTCCCTCCTCTCCATAACCACCGTCAGCGGCCAGAGGAGAGAGAAGCTCGGAGGCTGCTGGAGCCCGGAGAGCGCCGTTTCTCTCCCTGCAACCCGGCGAGCGGGACGCGGGCGAAGGCGCAGCCCGGCGCGCCTCGCGCCCTACCTTACTTGCTTGCTTGCTTGCTTGGCGGGGGTTTGCGCCGGAGACGGCGCGTTTCCTTCTGGCTCGCTCACCCAGTTCTGCCGCAGCAGCCACGGGGAATGTCGGGCAGAGCGGCGGGGCTCCCTGGTTTTGTTACTACCGGGAGGAGAGCAGCCCGGATCAGTGCCGTCGCTATAGAAACTGGCTGTTCCCGCCGCCAGCGACGTCGGGGCGGAGGTGGGGTGGGGAGGGGAGGGAGAGCGCTTTCAGCCGTTCATTGAGGAGTATTCGGGCTTCTGCTTTCTCTCCCCCTCTCCACCTGAGGCGAGCCTGTCAGGCGGATGGAGGGAGAAAAGGTTGCTTGCCCCTCTCGTTGCAGCCTCCTCTCCCTCTCTCTCTTGATCTCTCTCTCTCACACACACACACACAAACACACGCCGTTATTATTTTAAGGGATCCAGCCAGGAGATGGTCAAACGCACGGAGGGATGATCTATTTCGAGCTTGACTTCTACGGGAATAAGCAACCTCTGTGAAAAAGATGAGGGTGGGAGACCTTTTAGAAGAGTGCCAAGGGGACATCGTGAAAACCAGCTACCCATTTCTTTGATTCGAGTCCAGATGAAACAACCCTTTGGTTGTTGCCCTTCTGTTCCCCTGTTTTTATATCAATACAAATTCTCATGTGAGAAGCCAGATTGTTATGAATTCAATCTATTTTACTGAAGTATTTAGAAGCCACGTTGAAGAACAAAAGCCTGGAAAATTTCACACTTTACAATCATCATCGTTGAAAAATTCAATTGTTAGATTGGCTCAGGGGAAGAATAGCAGCACTTTATTAGAGGGAAACAGAACAGCCTGTGCTGCCCAGCTCGCCTTATAAAGGGAGCCGGCAGGCAAGCCAGCCAATGACAGATCTTCAAATCTCCCGCCGGTGGACTAGCCAATCCGGCGGGGATGCCCATATAAGGACATAACACCCCTCCCCTACTAGTTCTTAGTCCGTCTCTCCAGTTGCCACGAACATGACGTAGTCGCGCAGGTAGGCGGGGTGCCTCCCCGTCCTATCTGACTTGCGCAGATCACTTCTTGTCTCGCTGTCGACCCATGCAGACGAGCCTCTTGTCTCTCCCGGTTCCCGCCTTGGAACCGTCTGGAACGTGGCCGTCGAGTGTGCGGGCTCCGGCCCAGCACCTCCGGCTGGGTTCTCAGAACTCCCTGGCGGCCCCGGGGAACAATGCCTCGGCCGCTGCAACTTGCCGCTGATCAGGACTGGATGCCTGGAACCCGGTAAGTTGATGGTTCTTTTCCTCTCGGCCGGTGGCTGGTTTCCGGTGCTAGAGGCGTCCGCCGTCGTCCAGGTCCTTGGTTTCGGTTGTCGCTGTGGCTGTTGTGGTTGTTGTTGCGGGTCCCCGTGTTCTGGTGGTGGTAGTTGGCCTGCTCTGCCGGTGTGGAGTGGTCCGACCTTGCCGGGGTGTCGGAGGCCTCCCTCGACTGGGTGTTGTAGGCCTACCTCGTCAGGGTGTGGTAGGTCTTCCTGGACTGGGTGTTGTAGGCCCACCTTGTCGGGGTGGCGCAGGCCTACCTTATCTGGCTGTGGTAAGCCTACCTCGTCGGGGTGGCACAGGCCTACCTCGTCTGGGTGGTGTAGGCCTACCTTGACAGGTTGGTTTTCGCCGCTTCCGCCGCTTTCCCTCCACCTTTTCCGGAGCTGGTCGACATGGCGTTTGACGATCTGCCTGTCTCCCAGCTCCACTTGGTACGACCTCGGGTCCGTTGTTCAGCTGATTACTCCCTTCAGCCACTTCGGAGGCTCACGGAAGTTGAGAGCGTAGACCGGGTCTCCCTCGGTGAAGGTGCGCGGCGGTTGAGTTGAACTCGCTGGTTCTTGGGGGTTGTACTGGGGGTGTAGCCGGTCCAATGGTGTCCTCAGCTTTGTCCCCATGAGTAGCTCGGCTGGACTTCTGCGCGTGGTGGCATGCGGGGTGATATGCTGTGTGAAGAGGAATTTATCGATTCTCTCCTGCCAATCCCCAGTGCCCATCTTTGTCAGGGCGCTGATTAATCCCATTCTGCCTTTGGGATAATCACACCTTGATTAAGAGGAGTGGATCGAGACTTTTCCTTGCAAGCATACTTTAAGAAAACAAAACCCGAAGATATATCTTCTAAGGAAACTCATTTATTTGTTATAAAGAAAATAAAACATCTTACTGATCTAATTAGTTACATTTTGATAAAGTTCGTGCCAGCTGCTTCTCAGCAGTCGGACCTTTCTTGGCAAGAGAACAAAGGAAAGTGTGTGAAAGAATGTGGGTGGATGACATGCGCAGTTTAGCTTACTGATAAGGATTCTTGGCAAGCTACGGAAAGTCTGATAGTCCAGAAATGAGAGCTCAGCTGGTAAATAAAAGAACACAGTGACAATCCCCTTCTTTTGCCAGTTGAGCGAATATCAGGTACATCATCAAATAAGGCACATCTTCTTACGCAGATACTCGTGTTGAGCTGTTGGAAGTGGTTTGTTGAGCATGTCTGCAATCTGATCATGTGTAGATACATACTGCATTTTAACAAAACCTTTTTTCACTAAATGTTTTATGTTTTGATAATGGATGTCAATGTGTCTGGACCTAGAACCTGTGAAATGTGATTCAGAAATATAAACCACTGATTCATTGTCTTCCATCACTGTGATCGGTCGGATCGGGTGTGTCCAGATATCTGTGACTAAAGCATCAAACCAAGTTAGAGAATTACATGCATCTGAAACACAAGCATATTCAGCTTCAGTAGATGAACAAGAAACAAAATTCTGTTTACGCACTTGCCAATAAACAGGACATCCATTTAAGAACATCATATAACCTGAAGTACTTTTACATGATTTCTTATCACTTGCCCAATCAGAATCTGCATAACAACATAATTCTGCATAATCAGTATGTGTTGGTTTTAACAATAATTTCATGTGTTTAGTGTATTTTAGGTATCTCAATAATTTCTTAATGCATGTCCAATGAAACTGTTTTGCCTTACCTACGTGTCGAGATAAGAGATTAACACTAAGTGCAATGTCGGGTCTGGTCCAACTACTAATGTACAACAGTGACCCAATAACTGAACGATAAAGTGTTTGATCCTCGAACTCAGGACTTGCTTCTTGTGTCAAGTTATGAAAATCTGTTTGCATGGGTGTCTTTGTTGTGTTAGCATCTTTCATGTTGCAATGATGCAAAATTTGTTCAATTTTATCTTCTTGTGAAAGACTAAACCCCTTCTGTGTTTTTTCAATCTGAACACCTAAATAAGTGCTAATATGACCTAATGATTTCAATGTGAAGTATCTCTGCAAAGCTTTGGCAAAAATTTCACTCATTTGCTTATTTGGACCAATATAAACAATATCATCAACATAAACAAGAACTATCTCATATGCATTGTTAGATCTTTTTTTGTGAACACGCACTCATCAGTTTCGGACTTAATAAAGCTCATTGAATTTAGTTTGTCAGTAAGACATAAATACCACATTAAACCAGTTTGTTTCAGACCATAAAGACTTTTGTTTAGAAACCAGGTATCCCATTCTTGCTATCGGAATCCTGGAGGACTTTTCACGTAGATCTCTTCATCTAGGTCTGCATGTAGATAAGCTGTGTCAACATCGAACTGGAAAACTTCTAAACCAAGGATAGTTGCAGTTGCTAAAGCAATTTTTACACTCTCAGTTTGAACTGTCGGTGAATAGGTATTTGTGCAGTCCTCAGGATAACGTTGAGCGAAACCCTGAGCTACAAGTCTGGCCTTGTACAATGACTCACCATTTGGCTTCTTTTTGATTCTGTAAACCTATCGAGTGCCAATGACCTTTTTGTTTGCTGGAGGTTTTGCAGGTGTAAACACTTTGAGTTTCTTTAGACTATCCATTTCAACCTGCATTGCTTCATACCATTTGTCTTGCTCTGAATCAGGAAGCTGCTTGATTTGTGTGAAATTATCAGGTGGAAGTGTAACATTGCAAATCAAAGGCAAGGGTGCTTTTGTCAGTTGCCAAGAATATCGTTGTGGAGGGATCCCTTTTGTGGCCCTCTTGGAACGTCTCGGAACAACAGTCCAATCTTCTTCTGCTTCGTCCTCGTCCTCACATTCGTCGCTAGCGTCAGCATCCGCAGCTTGTGAAGATGGAACATCGGGTTGAGAAGAACTGGTGGAATCTTGATCATCAATCTGCATGGCATCAGCAGTATCATCTCTAGGAAAATAAATTCCAGGATCATTGGAATGAATCCTGGACCAGTCAACATCTTCCTCAAAATTAGCAGATTGGGAAATCACAATTACATGTTTAGGATCAATAAATTTGCTCCATTTTGAATTATCATCAATACCCACAAATCTCAGTCTCTTTGCTGCTGGACCTCCTTTTCTTCTTTGAGCTAAGGGAATGTTCACCATAGCATATGAACCAAAAATATGGATGTTTTTAAGATCGGGCTTGTAGCCATACAACATGAAGAAAGGAGTCTGATTTATTACACTGCTCCAAGTACGGTTGACAATGTAATTTGCATATTTTATAGCTTCACCCCAGTATATCATACCAAAGTTGGCGTCTTCTAGGAGACAACGCATCATGGTTTGCAGTACCCCTTGTGGTTGTTCTGCGACTCCGTTGTGAGCCGGTGTGTAAGGAGTCGAAGTCTGATGAAGAATTCCATTCTTACGCATCCAGTCCTGGAAACGCTGAGACATGAATTCGGCACCACGATCGCTCTGGATTCTGGCGATGCGAACTTGGTGTTGGGTAGAAACAAGGGCTGCAAAGTCTTTAAAGATCTGAAAAGTCTCAGATTTTTCTTTCATAGGATATACATATCCATATCTAGAGTAATTATCAACAATTGTTAGAAAATATTTTCTACCACCAAATGATGGCGTGAAAGGACCAACTATGTCAGAGTGAACCAAATCAAAAATGCGTATTGACAGGCGTGTAGAGCGTTTGGGAATGGCTGCTGTTTTGGATTTGGCCTTTTTGCAGACAGCACAATCCAAAAACACCTTACACCCCTTTAGATCCAAACCTTTTGCGAACTCCAGCATCTTCCCAAGAACACGGAAACTGGCATGCCCCAATCTTCTATGCCATTTATGGATACACCTAGAATGCAAAGGTTTACCAGTTAGTGAATTCTCAACATTAACAGTTTTATGAGGAACCTCAGGCTTGCTCTGAGCAACCTGTTTCCCAATTTTCTTTTTGTTGGCTTTAGGAGCCTTTGGAGCAGCAACAGGATCTCTCTCTGGAGCATCTCTCTCTGGGCCTGTGCTCTCTCTTTTTGGAGTTTGTATACTTGCCTGTGTTTGCGGTTTAGGCTTTGGCTTTAAGTAATAAACACCAACAATTAGTATGGTTTTAGCAACAATATCTCCATCTTTAACTATGTAACTTGCTTTTTCAAGGTGGTGAACCTGGAACTTTAATGCTCTAGACAAGTGACACTGACTAAGCAAATTACTGGTTGCTGTTGGTATATAATAAACATCAGGAATGAATGCATTGAACTCTTCAACATAAACAGTTCCTTTTCCTTTGACCTGACAAGGATGATTGGAAAAAGAATAAAATTCATGTAGTTCAGGTTCAGGCTCGTGCATCTCTGTGAAAAGTTCCTTTCTGTAGGTAACATGCAATGCTGCACCACTGTCCAAAGTCCACAGGAGTCGTCTGTCGTACTCTGGTTGAGGTTGTAGATCATTGGTTAAAGCCAATGTGGCGAGTGGAGCTTGTGGATCACGCCGGGGACTATGACGGCCTTGTCTTCCACCTCTGCCTCTGCCTCTGGAATCTATTCCTCTGGGCTGGTATGTGACGGGAGCTGGAACTCAATGGGGACAATCCCGGGTGGCATGTCCCACACGATTACAGATGTAGCATCTTGGCATCCTTGGAGCATGGGTCCTTCCTCGGAAGGGGCACCTAGCTGGAGCTCTTGATGTGGGTGGTCCTCTCAAGTGTGGCATGGCTAACATGAGTGCTTCTTCTTCAATTAAAAGTCTGCATACATTGTCCACTGTGCGTTGAGCAATAGGGACTTGGTTAATCTTTGTAATGGCATCTTTCCATTCATAGTTCAAAGAATTAATAATAATGCTGATCATTTGAATATCATCAATATTATAGCCTCTTTCTTTCAATTCTTTTCTCAGTCCTTTCAGTTTGGTCAAATGTCCTCCAATTTGTTCACCAGGTTTCAATCTCGAACCATGGAATTCAGACATGAGCA